CCAGTTTGGTCCAGATGACCTCATGTTTAACTCTAGAATCAGATGTTTTCCTCCTGCGAAGCCTCAAAACATTARTTTAATTCAGAATGAAATGATGGACAAAGACCTGAAGACTGGACCTACAGATCTGAGCCATCAGAGACCACTCAGTCCTGAACCTGCAGCTCCGCCSCAGAGGATGATGGGAGATTTCTGCTCCGATCAGGTTCCGTAAATCACAGCAGGCTTTAATCACCTCTGCTGCAACGCTGCTCGCTCACGAGCCACCGGGGAGGAAATTCAAAACGCTTCAGACTCCAGCAGAAAGCTTTTCATTCTTCAAACGGACACTTTTAAACGTCTCCGTCTCTTTATGAGATTAATCATCGAAATATTTTACTGACAGGACAGCTCAGGTGTTGTTCCTGCAGCCCAAGATGATGCAGAGATCTGAGTTAGTACTTCAAAACRTCTTCAATCACCCTCATTGTGAATGCTGACTCAGCATTCAGACGACAATGCTGACTCAGCTTTCATTTGACAATGCTGAGTCAGCAGTCGGTCGACGATGCAAAGTCAGCATTCAGTCAACGATGTTGACTCAGCTTTCCACCAAGAATGCTGACTCAGCATTAAGTTGACAAGGCTGACTCAGATTTCAGATGATGATGCTGACTCAGCATTCAGTCAGTGATGCTGACTCAGCTTTCAAACAAGAATGCTGACTCAGCATTAAGTTGACAAGTCTGACTCAGATTCCAGATAACGACGATGCTGACTCAGCTTTCAGACGATGCTGACTCAGCATTCAGACGACGATGCTGACTCAGCATTCAGATAACATTGATGCTGACTCAGCTTTCAGACAATGCTGACTCAGCTTTCAGTTTTCTGTAAATCTTTTTGCGATGGTTTTTTCTCGTACTATGTGTGATTTAAATCGTTCAAATATCAAAATGTTCAGCTTGATTTCAATGTTTACCTTTAAAAGTATCATCCATCCATCCATCCATCCATTTTCTTCCTT